TACAGACAATAATGAACTTTATCACAATATGCTAATTTTTAGAAGGACCTCTATCTATCTATCTATCTATATGTACATATATATATATATATATATATATATATATATATATATATATATATATATATATATATATACATATAGATAGATAGGAGAAAAACTATGAACTAGTTGGTTTTCAGAACAGTGAATTTAGTTAAAAAAATGTTTTATGATGAATAAAAAATTGAACTAGTTCGTTTTAGAAACAAACTTTCCCAACCCTGTATTCATCATATTAAATCTGTGTCTTTGCAAAATAGTTATATACAAATATTTTTAAACTTAATAAAAAGCTGTTGTATCTAAAGTAACTGTAATTAAATTACCGTTATTATGTTGTAATTATTCACTCAATTTTAAATTACTTGAAGGTAATGTTTGTAATGTTTTCTTATAAATTTGCTTCTCTAATGGAACTGTTATCCTGGAACCTCTCCAATCCACGCTCAGTTCTCATCACCTAACAGCTTTTCTCTGTCAGAAGTCTTGTGGTTGTGGAGCAACCTAGTAAATAATTGTCATGGCTTTGAGATGCAATGATGCTTTCATAAATAATTACAGATATTCAAGGAGTAATTACATTTTCTTTATTACAAAAGACATCAGTATGCCGTGCTTGTGTATTCGTGTCACCTTTGTTGACTGAGATGGTGGATTCTGTCAGCATCAATTAAATCACATAAAAGTTGGATTTCAATTGTTTAGCAGCTCTGAGCTCAGTCTTTATTTTAGCATCTATCCATCCATCCAACCATTATAGAAACATTCTAGTTGGCTTTTTTTGATGCAAGAAAGAAGTAAATCTTGCCGTAGGTCCTCCCTAACTGAGCTCCCGTGTCTGTCTGTGAAGATTATCCACTTATTGGAGATCCCTCACTTCTCCCACCTTGATGACCTCATCCTTTTAGGCATTACCCATAACTCATGAACATAGGTGAAAGGTAGAACGTAAATCGACTGGTACATCAGCATGCTTTCCCTTCAAGTTCCACCCTCCTCACCACAGCAGACAGGTACAGGTTCTGTTCATAACCTTACGGTTCGTATTCCTCAGTGCAGCCGAGCAGTAGACGGTTCCCAGTTTGTTTCACAGCCAAGAGCAGAACAGACGTGACAAAGATTAGCACCGCCGGGTCTGAAGCCGTGGATCTCAGCCAGAAAAAGGGCGATGTGCGAACTCCATATTGTCCTTTTCTTCAGAAGCGAGGTCTGATCGTGTATCTGTGAAAGAAAAGAGATCTATAAATCTGAGGGTTAAATGGTTGAGTCAGCTGACTGATGAGTCACAGCTGTATCCAGTATCCTTTTATGTGAAAAATGACATGGGAGAGTTCTAGTTTGCAGCAAAAAACAAACAAACACAGAGACACACATACAGTGCATTCAGAAAGTATTCATAGTGCTTCACTTATTCCACTTTTTGTTTATGATACAGCCTCATTCCAAAATGGATTCAATTCACTTTGCCCATAAAATTCAACACACAACACCCCATAATGATAATGTGAAGAGAGTGTCTTTGAAGTTGTTGCAAATATATTAAAAATAAAAAACTTAAGAAATCACATGAACATAAATATTCGCAGCCTTTGACGTGAAGCTCAGATCTTACTTGAGGTGTTTCAGCAGATTAATTAGAGTTCACCTGTGGTAAATTAAGCTGATTGGACATGATTTGGAAAGGCACACACCTGTCTATATGAGGCCCATGGGTTGACAGTGCATGTCAAATCACAAACCAAGCATGAAGACAAAGAGTGTAGACCTCTGAGACAGGACTGTTTTGAGGCACAAGGCTGGAGAAGGTTACAGAAACATTTCTGCTGCTTTAAAGGTTCCTATGAGCACAGTTCCCTCCATCATACGTAAGTAGAAGAAGTTTGGAACCGCCAAGACTCTTCCTAGAGCTGGCTGGCCTTCGAAGCTGAGTGAACGGAGGAGAAGGGCCTTGGTCAGGACGGTGACCACTAACCCGATGGTCACTTTGTCAGAGCTCCAGCGGTCCTCTGTGGAGAGAGGAGAACCTTCCAGAAGGACAACCATCTCTGCAGCAATCCACCAATCAGGCCTGTATGGTAGATTGCTCAGATGGAAGCCTCTCCTTAGTCAAAGGTGCATGGCAGCCCACCTGGAGTTTGCTAAAAGGCACCTTAGGGACTCTCAGACCATAAGAAACAGAATCCTCTGGTCTGATGAGACAAAAATGTAATGCCAGGCGTTACGTTTGGAGAAAATCAGGCACCGCTCATCACCAGGCCAATTCCATCCCTACAGTGAAGCATGGTGGTGGCAGTATCATGGTGTGGGAATGTTTTTCAGTGGCAGGAACTGGAAGACTAGTCAGGATAGAGGGAAAGATGACTGCAGCAATGCACAGAGACATCCTGGATGAAAACCTGCTCCAAAGCGCTCTTGACCTCAGACTGGGGCGACGGTTCACCTTTCAGCAGGACAATGACCCTACGCACACAGCCAAAATATCGAAGGAGTGGCTACAGAAGAACTTGATGAATGTCCTTGAATGGCCCAGCCAGAGCCCAGACCTGAACCCCATTGAACATCTCTGGAAAGATCTGAAAATGGCTGTGCACTAATGTTTTCCATCCAACCCGATGGTGCTCGAGAGGTACTGCAAAGAGGAATGGGCAACACTGCCCAAAGATAGGTGTGGCACGCTTGTGGCATCATATTCAAAATGTCTTGAGGCTGTAATTGCTACCAAAGGTGCATCAACAAAGAACTGAGTAAAGGCTGGGAATACTTATGTTCATGTGATTTCTCCAGTTTTTTATTTTTAATATATTTACAACAACTTCAAAGACACTTTTCACACTATCATTATGGGGTGTTGTATGTTGAATTTTATGGGCAAAATGAATTGAATCCATTTTGGAATGGGGCTGTAACATGAACAAAAAAGTGGAATACGTGAAGCGCTATGAATACTTTCCAGATCAATCAATCAATCAATCAATCAATCAATCAATCAAACTTTATTTATATAGCACTTAATCATGCAATGCATGCAACTCAAAGTGCTTAACAGATTAAAAAGGCCCTGCATACCCACATTCCATCCCATCCCCAGAATTTTAAAAACAGTCTGACAATAACCCCTTCACAACACTCATCCTCCGGCAGACACACGCACGCACGCACGCACGCACACACACACACACACACACACACACACACACGAAATTACGTGTCACAAAATAATGTTGATCATAAATCTATGGTAAACAAAACTATGTTTAAAAATAGCATGTATAAAGACAAATATGTGCTGTTTGCACTGTATAAGGTTTGGTTCTTGCTCCTGTTGTTGATCGAGATATAAGAAGTAAGACTCATCTTATACCTGGACAGCTGAAGTCCTGAGGTATTTTTTTGTACTTCACTAAATTTGTTGGTAACACTTTAGGCCAGTTGTGCCAAATAAACAAAGTATCTCAAGAACTAACCTCAGATCTGCCATATTCTGACATACTGAGTGAGAGGAGAAGTAGCAGAAGAGGTTGAAGTATAATAGGTGCATGGTATGTAAAAGTTGTGTCACTGAAAGAGTAAAAACAAATACAGATATATCCGGTTACAGTTGAACATTACATTGCCATGCCAGTGTTGCACGATAATACTGGGACATCCCCAGCTAACAAGTTTGTCACATTGTTTGGGAGTGACAAACTGATTCTGGTTTCTCATTGAAAAACTATTTTTACCAACATGAGTAAATGGTCACCTAAACCTGGGCACATAGCACCTCTTAGCATGGAAAAAGATGATAATTAGTCAGGGTAAAAATGTTAATGAGACTGGTGAGGATTATTATTATTATTGTTATTATTATTATTATCATTATTGTTGTTATTATGTTGTCCTCGGGTTCTTTGTCTTTACTCATTCTTGTAAACATTTGTTTTTTAGCCATGAATCAAAGAGACAACACTTATTGACACAACCTTCTGGGGTAGACAGTAACACCCTTGTTCCATCTATTACCAACAGATGGCTCTTTAGAATGACACTTGCTTTGTGACCTTTAGACAGGACAAGTTCATTTCGTGACAAGGACAGCGTCAGGAGCGGCTGCATCTTCAGTCAGCATGCATATTTATCAGCCTTGTCCGAGAGGGATTAAAACTAAATTACTGCAAGGTGACTCATCTCAAATTCAGAGACTCAGAGGATGTTTGTGATCAAACTTATTGAAGAAACATAAAATAAAATCAGAACACTTTTGGATTTCATTCTCAGGAAGATATGCCTGTTAAAGGGACTGCAGAGTGCTGGTGAAGTGGAGCTTGAGTCCTTAGAGATACACATAAAATAGGCACGGTGTAGAAGAGCTGATTAAAACAGATCAGAAACACTGTACTAAGTGAATACTGTGTCCATGTGTGTTTATTTCTGTCAGATGCCAGTTTATCTAGTTCCAGTAGGTCCTGGCAGTATGAAAAAATACTTTTATCAGTTTTATTTCTTAAAATAAAAACTATCTTAAATGAAATGAAGCACATTTTAAGGTGTTTAGTTCAAGAATGCAAATGAGGCTATTAGTCAAATTATTCTATTTGTGCATATTTTTTAAATAAAAAATCGGGGTCAAACATGTAGTGGTAAATCTGTTTGCCAGTCATAAATGGAAATGCATACAAAACTTGTAGAAGTTTATTAGGCTAGACATCTGTTTAAAATATATTTTCTTCAGACTCTTATTTGTTTTTATACATACATACATACATACATACATACATACATACATACATACATACATACATACATACATATATAATTTTTAACACGTTGTGTTGCATTAAAAATACACACGTCAAAGTCAACACAGCTGTGACCCAAGAGCATACTAATCGACTCATATTCCTTGGCCATTTTAAAGTAACAGTACAGCACAGGACAACCGTCACCACACCGACCGACTGGAAGCTGCTGGACACGCTGTGATAGGTCGGGCTGGGACGGGATTAACGGAGAAGCCCCGTGATTCGCTGCCACTTCCGGTACTAAAACACCTGCTCCGGTTCTGCCATCGTTCTGCTCGTGTCATCCTGAAGTCGGTGCTCGATTGGTTTTGTCTGGCTGGAGAAACATGGCAGACCGAGAGGATAGCATCACAGTTCCCGAGTTTAACTGCCTTCTTCAAACGGATCCCGGGCTCAAAAAGTATGAGCAGGACTTCAAGAGGAGGTAAAGAAAAGAGCAAGTTCAAAGTGCGGCTTTGTTCTCAACTTGTCACCCAACGTAGCTAAATCGAGCAGCCAGCTAAATCCTGGCGTGCGAGTCTTTCAGTGAAGTAAAACACCACTTATGCATATAAAGCGATCATTCCACACGTTTTTGCAGCGAGTTGCTTATCTTGCGGTCCCAATTCGTACTGTGCCCCCTGTATTCTCCCTGAGCTCTCTCCTGTCTGCCCAGCCTGCTGGCGTTAACCTGACGTGCAGCTCATAACCCGCTGCCAGCGAGTCTTCATTTTGCGTGAAAAGTTGGAGAAAAAACAGGTCTTTTCGACTTTCTGCGTCTGACCGCCGGGGAGCAGACGTGTGAGTCAGTGATGTGCACGTCGTGCATCGACGTGGTGCTTTAGGTTGAAATGCTGCAGCTGCTGTTGTGTTTTTATGTGAAAAATGAAATAAAAACGCATAATTTGGTGTTTTCAGCTGGTTAGGCATATTGGCAGTATGCAGCTGATAGTGACTGGATTGAGGCTTTGCTATGTGTACAGTTTTCCCCATTTAACCTAAATTGGACCTTCACTCGCATTTGAGTTTGTGACTGATAAAAAGATCAACTTAGATGCATTTATACTTCATTTTACTACTTAATTCCAGTTTTAGTTAATAGAAATCAGATAAAATAGCTGTTTTTACGCCCTGTTATGCAGGGATGCTTCCACACCAAGGATGTAGGGCTGATCAGATGAGTGCCACTCATAATGTTGGGGTGGCACACCAAAACTAAAAACCACTATAGATTTTCTGTCATCTTGTGTAGACTTTCAAATTATCTGCACCCCACTCCCTTCCAAATCTAAACTCATACACATCTTGTAATGTTTTAAGTCAGGTTAAGTAGAGCTGGCAAAATGAGGGCAAAACACACTGGCAACTCTTCATGCACTTGCCAACTAAACCCATGTTTCCCGTCATTTTCGTCCACGAATAAAACGCTTGCTGCGTGTCTTTTTACTCACCCAGTCACAGGTGAGTAAAACGTTCATATTTTTATTGTTTTTCCACAAGGTAGTCTTCAAGCTGCTCCCTCTCTGTTGCTAGATATCTTGGGCTCTCTTTATGTTTTTGAGGTGGCAATGGTGGTGCTGTTGGCGAAAGCAGCGTCCTGACCAATCACAAGCTTGCGTTCTTTGTCTCGTTCGACAGATGCTTAGAAAAGTGGGCTAGACTCCGTCTGTCCTTGAGAGCCTGTTGGAGAGCCCTCGCAAGGATGGATGATGACGTTTTGCGTGTCTCCGTACTGATGCAGATGCAGAAGCATAAAATAGGCTTTAGACTTAAAGTATAGCAAGTTTGGAAAACAAATTAGCTCTAAACATCTATTTTCATGCCTCTTAACTTTCTAACATAGTATAGCTATACATATATTGTAGAGAAAAAAAATAAAGTGGTCCTCTCGCATTTGTCTAAAAACCTCTACCAGTAACATGTTTCAGACCGAAAACAACCATTGGTCCATCCGGTTGTCGGTCTGGCCGAACCGCTACACTTCCCTGGGTCCTCTACTCATTACTCACTCGTGCATTTAGCAACAGAACACCACTGGTGTGAGAAGTTCTCTGCTCAATAATATCAAAGAAGGACAAACTACCAGATGCTACCACTTGAACTTTAAGACAAACAACCAGAGTCTCAAAAATAAAAACACCATGTGAAGAAAACTTTTGGACATAGAAAACAGTGACTGGTGTTTAGTCTAGAGCTGAAACGATTCCTCGAGTACCTCGAATAATTCGAGTACAAAAAATCCTCGAGTGAAATTCTCTGCCTCGAGGCTTCGTTTAGTTCATGTTTAATTAATTCATGGCTTTGCAATCGCCCGCGATCATGTTTCACCCGGACCGAAATAAGTGACGCACATACACACTGCACTGAATGCACATGAGAGTAGCGAATGTAACTTAACTTTCTCTTTAACCATGGTGGACAATGTGGACCCCGGTGGAGTGCGAAAAAGACAGAAAATTTCAAAGGTGTGGGACCATTTTTCACAATCCTTGTGAGTGTGAGAAAAAAGTGTAGAAATTAAAACGGACGTGTGTTAATAGGGAAATAGCTGGCGAGCCATGTTTGCGCATGCGCCGTGAGCGGTTCTGGTGCTGTTTGGGCCGCAGCCGCTCGCATTTGTTTACTGTAAAGTTGAAGTGCTGAAGTTTTGAAAACTAATCTTGAATAAAACTTGAATAACTGGCAATTGCTTGCTCATTTTAAGAGGTCTTTCATATTTTATAACATGTTATTTGATATAATGGTTTACAAACGCAAACAGGTAATTTATTAGAGTACTCGATTAATCGATAAAATATTCAATAGAGTACTCGATTACAAAAATATTCGATAGCGGCTGCCCTAGTTTAGTCCTCTCTTGTTTCCTCTGGCAATGCTGGTTTCTGGTTCCAGCAGAAGCGTCTCAGGGAAGACACCCGAGGGGAGGGGTGAGTGTTCCATGACCGTGTTCACGTTCAAAATCTAGCTTGTTCTGTAGATTTGCTTTAACAGCTTTAAAACGAATGCTCATCATTCAGAGCACTTACATTCTTGAGTAGATTTTAATGTGGTGCTTTAAAAAAGCCTGCATTATATATCCGTTTGTTCTTTTCTTTACATAAACTAAAGAGTTCACATGTTCAAGGTAAAAGTTACTTTATGTGGTTGTGCAGGTTTATTTATTTATATATATTTTTAATTCGACAGAATAGAAAAGCATCAATGTTATTTTGCGTCACATAGGAATTTTCCAATTTTATTTCACATCTTGTGTCAAATTAACCTCACAGGCTCAATAAGCTTGTCCTGTTTTAAATCTAAAAGTTGGCAACAATAATGATCTAAAGTGGAATTGGCTCATTTTGGGACGTTTTGGGAAAAGCTACGGTCTAAAGCTCTACTGATGAGCTCTATGGTGGTTTTATGTACTTTTTATCACCATGGCAGAGCTTGTTTCTAATGTGCCAGGTTAAGGGACCGCCTGCTTTGTATTTTGAAGCCAAGTGAGTCAGGCTGCAACCTCGCAGAGAGACGAGCACGTCAGTCCCATCTAAGACACAGCTTGGGGTTTCTAGGCTTCGCTGCACCCCAGACGTGTCTAAAACACCTATCCCGCTGATAAAAGTTGCTCGTAAATTATTTTACACATAGAATCACTGCAGTGTGAAGGTTAATTCCTGAAAAAGCTCCCAGTGTTCTTCCTCCCAGAGTCCAAACAGTGCTGAGAATTTACTTGGTTTATCAGAAACAGACCTATGACCACACGGATTGATTCTTTGGATTTTGCCACCACACCGGGGATTGTGTGCTCATGCATCCCGGGTCTAATGAGCTCCAGCTACAGTGCTCAGTTACAATGATTCCTCCAGACCTTGAGTCCTCAGTCCCAATTAGTTATCTGCTGTTGCAGCTTTAGTTTCGTGTTATTGGGATGGTATTTTATGATTGATTGTGAAAACAGCCGTTGATGCCGTGTGCAGGTCAAAGCCACAGTGAGCTGTCGAAATGTTCCAATATTTACCCTTCCTGCTACAAAAGTTCACAGGATGTACTGCTTGTTGTTTTTTTTTTTCCAACTTGGTAAAACGTGACTTTGAGCTTAGGGCTTCTGTTTATTACAGCAAAACATTCCTGTAAAGATCTAAATACATCATCGTAGCAAATTTCAAAGTGGAAATGCAGCAAAGCGTTTTGGTCTTCGGCTTGTAATGATGATGCAATGTTTTCAAAGTAAAACCGATGAATGCCTTTGATATAGGGATATGGAATGGATGTGCTCTGACTGAATAGTAATTGGCCGGGAACTGAAAATAAATATTAAAGAAAAGATCTTTTGCTTTTTTGGTTTTCAAAGAATTGCTTCAAGAAATCGGGCGAGTGTCAGTGAGAACACCTTTTGTGTTCTGATTGTTTTACCATCTTTGATGGCGGTGTTGGCTGTATTTATTTTCATGTCACCTTGCTCCAGGGTTAGTAACGTTGTTAGAAAAATGTTGCTTTTGGCAAATGCAAAGGTCCCCCCTCCAAAGCGTCTTTGGTGTGACTCCGGCGATAAGGACATCATTTGAAATTCTTCTCTCTGCTGGCCTGCATGGGAGCTTCTGAAACGCGAGCCGAGATCAAGAGTTGGAAATCTTTCTCATGTGCTTCTTTTTGTGGTTCAGATGGACGTGACAGGACTGCGCTTCAGCTGTCAACATCACTCACATGCATCACAACACAACAGACCTGATCACTCCGTCTATATTTAGGCTCTGACAGTGTACGAGTACGGTCGGCCGCTCTGAGGAGAGACGCTTTCAGGAAGTTCATTCAAGTTCAAATCAACACTTCAAATCATGCTTTTAATTTAAAGGGACTATGAGGAAGTTTGACAGCCAAAACATGTATATAAATAACACATTTCTTCTTCATACATTCTCCTGCAATGCCCTGGTCCTGTAGAATGAGCCCTGGCATTTTTACTGTGATTGTCTGTTTTTCTGTAAGCTCACAGAAAGAGAGTTGCTCGGGTCGAGCAGGCTGCTTCATGCGCGTTCACGCTCAGGCATAGCCTGTTGCATTTGCTATCCGTAGCTTTAGCAGCAGAGAGAGAGGCAGTGCCAACTCGGCGACTTTGTCGCTGTTCCTAACGCCTAGTGATGAACCTAGCTACATTTCTGAGGACCCTTGGCTACCTTCTGTTGAACTTTATTCTAGAAATTTCCTGCAAATTAGCAACAAAATAGCCATTTTTGCCCCGAACCGTTCTTGGATTGACATTGTTTCAGCTGTCATCAAGGATATAAACGTTACAGATAGCTTTAATTTCTCTGGTGCTTTAGCTCACCTGGTAAGATGTCTGACTCTTATGCAGAAGACCTGGGTTCAATTCCAGGTGTGAACATAATTTGTTATTTGGAGTTTCTTTTTTACATTAATGATATATTTTCTTACAGTAATAAGACGCCCAAAGGCATTGAATTC